AATTGTTATGCAAATTAGCAATTATCTTAGCTTCTTTAGTGAACATTCCAGAACATTCCTAGACGTTTTGACCTTTTGTTTTGCAATTTTCACAAATGATTGACAATGTGTTTATCTTCAAAACGCCGTCGGGCATTGTTTTTGGTTGAACAGTGTTACAACAATCGTACAGACAACTAGCATGGGTGTTAATTTATGCATAAACTTGAAGTAGCGAAATTTGAGCTGCTGCCCTGCAAAATTTGACAACTGGTAGACAGTTTTCAAGACGGCACTTTCTTCATAGTAAACAGATGTACCCATAAACCAATTTTGACAGGAAACTGAAGCATGGTTTAGAAGCTAATTTTTTTAAATCACTTTTGACCAAAAAGCCAATTTTTGTGCACATTTCAAACTACAGTGTCCATAAACAATACTAACAAAAATTTAAAATTCATACAATAAGCTTTCCGAAAATATATAGTTTTGTGGACAAGGGAGTTCATCTTGGTTTCCTAATTAACTAATTAAAATACATGTCGGGTAAACTGCATCTCTACCTTAAACATCTATTGGAACACTGATGATTATGTCACAGAAGGTTGAAAGGGCACCGTATATGTTGCTGGAGGTGGTGAGTGCCAACAAGATACTGTAAATGTTGCTGAATGAGGCGAGTGCCAGCAAGGTACTGTAAATGTCGGAGGTGTCAAGTGCCAGCAAGGTGCCATAAATGTTTCTTGAAGTAGCGAGTGCCAGCAAGATCCCTTAAATGATATGAGAGGTGGTAAGTGCCAGCAAATACTGTAAATGTCGGAGGTGCCAAGTGCCAAGTGCCAGCAAAGTGTCATAAATGTTTCTTGAAGTCGCGAGTGCCAGCAAGATCCCTTATATGACATGGAAAGTGCTGAGTGCCAGCAAAATACTGTAAAATGTCGGTGGAGGTGGCGAAAGCCAGCAGAGTACTGTAAATGTTGCTGCAGGTCACAAGTGCCAGCTATAAAACAATTGACATCGAACTTTAATAAACGTTTGCAATTTTACAATTTAACATAAATCTCCCCTCTTTACAAATACCAATGATGGCGGGGGATTCCCAAGAGTTCAATAGACGTTTAATTCCAGGAGGTAAAATGTACTTTAATAACATTTTGAATTACATTCAAGCACATTTATAAATTAAGTAAATTGTATTTCTCTCCATTCTAGATTATGTTTATAGAAAAACTCGAAAAAACGCTCGAGGGAGTAACCGTTGAAATCACCTAAATCGTGTAAAGAATTGACAGCTATGCCTATAAAATCGGCATTGTATCGTGGATTCGTATTGGTTTGGTGTTTTCATGATAATTCTAAGCTCATTTATAGAACTTTGGAAGAACGCGATGATGAAATCAGTTAAAATATGAACATGATTCAGCATTCAACACTACGAAAATATTATTTTGGTGAAGAGGAAAATAACACATCGCATTTTGTATTCCTTATACATTACCCAAGGCTTTCTATTTGGAATTTGTTATATATTCCTTCGTTAGGTTTTACAAGATTATACCCGCAACTGTTTGTATAGAACATTCTGAACAGATCAATGTGCGCTGTTTGTGTATTGTCAAATACTACTTGGGATTAACTAGAACCCACATGTATAGTATTTGTAGTTAATTTCAGAATTCAGCCTACAGAATAAATCTTACAAAAAGTTTCTGGGAATTCATTGCGTTACTTCCAAAACGATCATCACTCTAGGCATAAGTAACAGAACCAATTGAAGTAGTGAAACACTGTGACTACCTTTCCGTGGTAAATGTTTAGTCTTTTACTTTTACCTTATTCAGCACAAAATAACAGAATATATACTCCTACGTTAATATGTAATTAACCTACTTTTTTGCGTTTTGGATGATACATCCACAATATCATTCACAACGTTCTTACTACGGTTCTTCTTTGAGATATGTAATACTGCTTAATCGGAATGAAAATGTTTTTTGCTATCGACAGGCAATGAAATTTGCTGTCACTCTTCAGACTGTTTTGCTACATACCACTAGACAACTGGTGGGCATTTTACTTTTCAAGAAGAACAATTCTAGACAAATTTCACAACAAATGCAGAGCAGTATGATTATCATATTCAAATAAAAGCGCTTCCATACAAATTGAGCAACTGGGTGTAGTTTTCTACATACATACTGATAACCAATTTGAACATATCACCTTTTCGTAGACATTAAGCCAATTGCATTTGAATTGAATTTGAATGAACGTAATGCATAGTATGTAACCAATGTACGTAATTTTGTTTCATAATTTTAAAATGGACAGATGACGGACATTGTATTTCTTTAAACATTTCTCAGACACATGTTAGCCGATGTGGTACAAAAGTAACGAATTTGCCCAACAATGTACAATGATATTTAAATGAACAATTGGATACTCGCAATTAATTATTTAAGTTGAAATGCAAATATAAATTGTTAACCTAAGCTTATTCACTACAATACTACAATATGGTCCATGAGGTAGTTGCTGGATATCATTTTGTTTCTTTTCTGTCATCCAATGTAAATTCAGCCAAAGACAGAAAGAAAAATATTGACTATATGATTTGGTCACTATGCAAAAGCACACGGCTCTGCAACTTTAATGTACATTCTTAAAGTGCGTTTTGATGATACAGAATATTATTCCTTTGCTGTGAACATTTGAACATTCTGTCTTCCTCTTGAAGGGGTGGAAAATCGTAAATATAAAATCGGCTTTTTGATTGAAAGTTACGACAAGCGATTTCACTTGAATAATTCATAGATGTTAACTGTTGAATGAATTCAAAATCTTTGATCACGTGGTAGATTATCATGTTGCCAGGCAACACGGATAACCATATCATCAAATCTCTGAACTAACTCACAGTCCCACGGTTGTCGATGTGAGTGTTAATATCCTAGTTCTCATTAAAGTACGCTGACACCCAGGAACGTAAGTAACACATTAATTACTTTTACGCTTAAAATGCCGTTTTACAGTCGGCAATTTCCAAATATGCCAAACATTCGGTTACATATCATTTACTCTACAACGGCTGATTCAGACAACCGCCAAAGTGTTTTCGATTTAAAGTCGCATGTACAGAATCACCAATTCTTTCATCCAGAATTTTGTAGCGCCGGGAATTCTATTTAGGGAAGGTTTTACGTTAAATGTGTAAACGAAATTCTCTCAAATATTGGTGAAAAAACTAACTACTTGTTGTTTTCGATTTTGAGGTTATGTTATATGGAAACATAACCGTTATATATTTAATGCACATATGAATATTTTTTCCAATCTTTTTACCCACGGTAAGAGGAATGGTGTCTAACAGATCGGAGTTTAAACCCCTTTTGAATGAGAGTACATCAGAAGTATAACTATTGCATAACTGAGATGAGAAAGCATAATGGAAATAATAAGCAGGCGCAAGCGTGTATATCCGGTAATTGATCATGTATCTGTTTCTACGTTGTTGTAAACAGAACATTTCACTGTTAGTCTGAATAGGTTGTTAATCGTGGTTTGTTTGTTTTTAATTTTGTTTTACAATATAATTATTTCCGCATGGTCTCGTTTTCATTATAATGAATTATGCATCCCGGGACACAAGTTTTTCTAAAATAATATAGTATCACCGTTGATTATACCCACATTTTCTCATATAAACACACATATTTATTAGTAAACTATTCCACGTTTACTATTTAAACAATTGATGCGTTTTGCGCTGATGAATTGGTACATGGAACTTACGACGCATATTGCCAACACCCCGGTATGCTACATGGTTAAAAAAAAAAACTTCATAGAGAAAAATTAGCACCGAGAGAAATTTACTGATACCTCCGATCTCACGCCGAGTTTTAGGTCATGACGTGTTAGTGTCCCGGTTTTATATCTTGTCGTTTCATGTCAACAACAATGCACTACGGGATATCAAATCCTTGTTTCGTTGTTTTGCCATCGTACGCAGTTTATATTTAAAAAATGTAGCCATTATGTGGGATTGAATCAATATAAAACACATCGTCATAATACAGTCAGCATCGTGCATGGAAAGATCATTATGAAGTACACAATACACATTGGACTACAGTTTAATAGTAACTAATGAATAATTCATGATGTACAAGTAATTTCAACTATTTATTTCCTGTTTCAACATGTATTGTTTTAATATAATCGTTCAAAGAACATAAAATGCTATGAGCGCTTAGAACTTGAACTCTTAGTAAATAAATATAGGGAATATCAAAAACATTTGAAGCGACAAACATATATATATGCATTTTATTCTCATGGAATAAGCGTAGGTTTCTAATATAATAATAACAACGTCTCTGAAATTGAAGGAGACATTTAATAACACATGTACTGACTAATATTTCGAATGATATTATTGCTTTGAGCAGGGTAACGATATTCAAATATACTTATTTCTTTCACCAGCAAATCTATCAGAAATTAACGTAACAATAGTTCTGACTGTTACTATTGTCATATACTCGGTTACTGGCTTATTACTCGGTGTATCCTTAATGTATTAACTATTTCGTGGTACTGTTACTGTTATATAAATGTTGCTGTCAAATAAACATGTTTTAAATTAATAGATGTATTCATGGATCAGCCTGTAATATGCTTATACAGGCATGGAGTAATATCCGAAATGTCTAAATCAAGCTTCTCTGTTTTGAAATTTCCCACATTTTCCATTTCATGCATTCAGCCATCTTTGTATAAATGTAAAACGTCAATATCTTTCGACATCATCTTTCAATATCTTTTTATGTGTTGTTCCCATCATTCGAATTGTAAGTGGTTCGTGTACGAAACTGAACTTGTTTCAATGTGTTTTTTCTATCATTCGACTTGCAATTGTAAACGGTTCGTGTACGGTACTGATCATGTTTTAAAGTGTTGTTTCTATCATTTTACTTGTAAATGTATATATTGTTTCTCACCAGATCTGACTCCGAATGGAGAGAATGACATCCCCGTTTCTTCGCATCACATGCTTACTCGCTTTGTTGAATCCCGGCGTCAATGCTGACAACTATACATTTGGTTTACTTCTAACAGAAGTACCTTACGCACCGTTTAATGTGTATAAAATTGGCGCAGCAGCAAACGTGGCACTAAAACACATCCATAATAACCCAGACATTCTTCCCAATGACACGCTAGACTTTATTTATTACAACAGCGGCTTTGATGGCAGGCTCTCTCTGGAAAGAGTAGTAACTCTCATCCGTGATGACCACGTTGCAGGTATAATAGGACCTGATTTCTCGGCGGCATCAATGGCTGCAGGATTGTTGGCGTCTCAGTGGAACGTTCCCATGGTTGGACATGTGTCGTCCGCATCGGAATTATCGTCTAAAGCTTTGTATGATACATACGGTCGTACGTCATCGCCGTATTCTAAAACCGCCTGGGCAGTCATCACAACCATAGAAGCGTTTGAATGGAAGCACATTGGTATTTTTAGTGCTAGTTATATGACGTATATTGCGGATGCCATAGAGTTAGAACTAACAACAACAAATATCACTATAGAAACTACTTCCTTCAATCGAATGGATGTTTCTCTATATGAAAAAGAGCTGGATGATATGTTAAGAAAAGCAAGGAGTAAGTTGTTAATTCATATCTAACATCCCATTAACACATTATGGGAATCATTATGTTGGTTGAAATATATTTTTATCGAAATTGATGAAAATCAAATGTATAGAAAAAGTAGGGACAATGGTTTATTGAGTTACCTTGAATCAAATAGTGTGAAAATTCTATCTTTCATGTTGTGTTGACTTCCATCGAAGCGATTATTACACATATAATTTTTATTCTGTATGTTTCTAGTCATTATCTTATTAGTGAATGCTGCAAAAGTACGTGAACTTATGTTACTTGCCTACGACAAAGGATATTTAATCAGTGGAGAGTATGTATTCATCGTTGTCGAGCGATTGACGATGAGTGCTTATGAGGTGAGTGGATACATAATAATTTTCTATCACGTTAACCCTAAAGCCATATAATCGTTATTGAGACATGTCCTTTGTTTGTTTTCCGCTGCATTTTATTGGTGCGTACTACAAGTCAGGGTCTTATTGGAAATTTCCAACTACATAGAAAATGTACTCTCTGAAAGAAACACATTCAGCTTATCTGCCATGGTGGTTGAAAAGAAAGTGTGTTTTTACGTGTCTTGTAGCATCAATGCAGTAATTTTGACATTCGAAATGAAACACAATTCTTGTAATTGATAATAATAATTCTTTTTGTATGGCCGTGCGATATGCGAACCATTGAAGACACAGAATTTATGCTTTATATGCCTGCGCGGTTTCAACTGGAGACTGTATCTGTATACTTATTTTCCAAAATATACTCACTGTTGAACTCAATGTCAAAAGTTGCGAGCAGCCATTTTTCTATCTATACTGGCGTTCAGTGTTATTTCACGCATTCGAATTCTTCACGGTGTGTTGTCATAGCTCTGTGTGTCTGGAACGATTTCTTGGCCACGGTTTATACACCATATTTCATGTCAATAATATTTGTTTTTCTTTTCTTTTTTTTTCCTTTTTCGATGCCTATTGACGTATAGCATCCGCCTATATAAATATTGTTTTGTTCATAATACCTTATAAGACTAGTATTTGGCCGGACCTTTGATTACTTACTTTGATTTGTCCTGCTTTCATCTTTGTTCAACGTAGTTGTGTCACTTTAAAAATATTTTCAACCTACTTATATCTAATTTATTCCACATTGTCGTGCAATTGTGTAGCTATGGGGCATGCCACATAATGCCCATTACGTTTTTAATGTTTTAACACATCTTTAAAGTTTGATAAAAATGTCATTACTTGTTTTGTTTTTTTACCAAAAACATCTAGGGTACGGCATGGCTGACTGGCGTAGAAACTCGCAGAGATGATCTAGCGAGGGCCTTAAAATCTCTTCTTGTGCTTGAAATGGTTAATACCGATGAGACTGTATTCAATACATTTGCCAAGGAAGTGATGGCAAGTTTCTTGGAACCGCCATGGTATATGAACATAACAGATGTTTCTGGGGTGAGAGCGATAGTAGTGTTAGATGTCGATATCATATCAAAATTAATAATGTGCGCATGCTTGAGCATGGATTAAATGATTTGAGATTTGTATTCTGTCTACTCTGTAGTTCGCAAAGTCAGTCATACATTTCAGTCTCAAATGAATTGTTCAATCAATGTTTGGTTTATGGCATTGATTATTATCTGCTTTACATTTACTAGCAACCCTAGCTTTAGTCACTGATACGTTGTCTCTTTCAGGTTAATTCAATATCTACATATTTGTATGACGCTACTCTTCTTTATGCATATACACTACATCGAGTACGCATCAATGGAGGTGATCCTTACGATGGGAGAAATTTCTTCAAAGAAATGCAACAAGTTGACTTCCAAGGTATACAACATGGTGTGTTTCAGGTGTTCATGATATGTATCTACCGACACCGCATTTCTGTTCAAAAGTTTCAAAACGACTTTATAATACAAAACAACGAAAACGCAGAGGAAATATAACTAAACCATTTGTTGAACAACTAATATACAATTATCATGTCCGTTAGCATATTGCCTTTCGGTATTTCGTAATAATATTTTCATAATTACATGTAATGAACTTTATATCAAACACTATTTACAATCGTGTGAAGCCGAATTTTAATATTAAGTGTGGATGAGTTTTGTGTCATACTGTGCTGTTTTATTTAATATAGCAGTATGTTTTTACTGAATACGTATGACATGAAAATAATTATCATGCTCCGGCAATGTTCCTAATCATTGAATAATTATATCGAATGATATGCGATGTGCATTAGATAGACTTTCGTAGCTCACTGTTTAATGATTTATTCATGCAAATTTAACCAATAAGCACACATAAATACAATTAACTATACAAAGTTGAATTATGCAAAATCAATTGATAGCTGAGTGTAAGAGGGCGTGAGTCAATCCCTATACGTTCGGTCTTGAATGCAATATTACGTTGCTGGAATGGTCGTTATCTTTAGCAATGTACATTCCAGCTAAATCAAGTACATATTCCGGTTTTCCGAAGACATACATAATATATAACAGTTTTATGCCAACGTAATAGATTGTGCAATTACTGCTCTCTTACAAACGCACCATATAAATCAGCGATTGTCAACAGTTTAAATTAGGCAACATAATACACACATTGCTATACCCACACGATTGTCCCATAGCTCAGACCAAGATAGCGCCAGTATAATGGCTTCATTTGGTTGCCTTCGTAAAGTGGCAGACGACAAGAAACTTGTAGTAAGCTCAAACAAGTATCTTCCCTATCACGGCAGCTAAGATTTCAGTATTGTACATTGTTTTCATTCACGTATATTGCGTCCAGTACCACACAAAAATTGTGTAATGATATTGTTTTCAGCTATTTGTAAACATTGTCTTTGTGAGGTAATTTCATCAAAAAATCACTTCCTGGAGCTTTTGTTTATGACTTCGGACATATAACCATATACATACAGCATATCGTATTTCATCAATAGACATTTTTATTGATAAAAAAAAATATTTTGCAATATCGAAGAAATTGTTTTCATAACTTAGAAGCACACGTATTCGTGAGTGTATAAAAATGATATATTTAGCTTTCGCTTGTTTTTGAAATGGCCTTTTGGAACAAAAAATTATCAGTAATGTACACTTATTTTACATCTAGTATTACGTAACATATTATTAACTTAATGAACAATATATAGCGTTCATTATAGCCTAGTTTATAAACTTGAATGTAGGATGCAACATATATCATAATATCCTTCTCAGACTCGTGAGAGCTGATTTGAACATCAATTGTCTTAGGGTGAGAGTGCGAGTTCCATTCCACGGATAACATCTTTTTTTAAAACACCGGGCACTTTATACTGTCCGATTTCCAACTCGCGATATTTCACTAATTTTTGCCAATGAATCGATGCTCTTGGTGTTCGAGAGATCAAAGCTTGTTGTCACAGTTTTCATTAATACAAATGAATGTTGGACTCCATATCTGTCCACAGGCCTCACTGGTCGTATCACAATAGACGAAAATGGTGATCGAAATCAAGATTTCTGGCTTCTCAATTTCGATGCTATCAATGGTATCTTTATCAAGGCTGGTTTGTATGATAGTGCCACAAGTACGCTTCGGCTGTTTTCTGGTACAAAGATAGCTTGGCCTTCTGGGAAAGATGAGCCTCCACTGTCGGTACCTATATGTGGTTTCCAAAGGGAATTTTGCATAGAACCGGAGAAAGGTGAGTTTGCACCAGTGTTCACATCATCACATCACCGGCTATTGTAGTGTAAAAGATTTTATTCAATAACAAATTTCATTGATCATGATATTACGAGATGTTACGGGTCCGTTCATTTGCTAAAGGAGCAACAGGCGATGGTAACCCGAATGTTTCACTCCCGCGTATTGCATCATGGGGCAGGCTGGACATACTCAGCCCGTATTGTGTCCCCTCTTTGATTTACATGCAAGGTTTTAAAGTCCCACATGCACAAACTTAAAACAATGAAATAGTGACAGACGTATTGTGGCATTGAAATAATTATTCAATAATTTTGTTCATGCAAAAGACTTGCTTGGGACTCACCGAAAATCACAGCAAAATAAGGCAGTTGGGGATGAAAACGTTTTTTGTTGTCTCACACACTGTCATTACTAAAAATTACAGAGCATTACTAAAAATCCAAAGTAAACGTTGGTTCATATACATGTACATGTTTACGTGACCACCAATTTGTTAAGGGTATACATTTCGAACACTAATGGTTAGCTAGTTGATTTACACTTAACGGAAAGTGTTTAGCATGCTTGTGAATAGATACTATAATATACTAGTGGATCGGTCTGGAAGTCTGTGGTCGGAACTTACGTGCAAGACAGTCTGTGTATGCGAGTACCCAATGTACTGAAGTTATGGAGACAGCCAATCACTGATGATACAGAATTCTATGCAGTCTACGTATTTACGTAGCGATTCACAAGATAGATTCATCAAATATTCGGTGTCAGTGCGAAAGTTTTTGTCAGAACAATCAGACTTTGGGGGACGTATCAAATATGCTTCAACTAAACTGGATATTTGCCGACACGAGGATGTACGTCACACAATATCTAAATACTATCAGAGAAGGTATCACGGGAGTTCTACCAGGTGAAGAGCTGTAATATCGCTAAAGAAGTAATAGTCGAGATAGTACCAACATCCCGAAAAATTTGATTACCTTATGCGGATAACCCAGAAATGGCCACATTCATTTTTGTAAACTTAACAATCGTGACCTTCAACCTTGTAAACAAATATTAGGATAATTGTTGGTTGATATATTTGTGACAATGACATGAATGAATGTTATATTCAGATTTCAAGTGCAAGTGCCGAGGATACATGTAGTACATGTTGCTATAGAAACCTAATTCCATATGTGGGAATACATGACAAAACCATATGACCATCTTCCTTTCATAATGGTATTTTAAAGCGCTTATCGCGGCTTTTACTCAGGTTTCCCAAAATAACATCTATTGGTGGAAGAATATCGGTCTGTATCACCTTACCTCAGTGGAGAGGGCGACCCGTTTTGGATGTTTAATTTCATGTAGAACTCAGTTCTAACAATAACATTTCAAAAAAACTACTAGGCTACAGGCTGCATTATGCTTGTCGAATTCGACTGCTCAGTGACATTATGTTCTTTCTGGTGAAGTTGCACATATTCCCCTCCCTCGCTACGTCCTTCAACAAATACCAGTACTATTTCATACAATAATTCCGATAGTAGGTTCGAAAAAAACCTGCGCAGTATTTGATATTTTCAGTTTTGTTTTGCTTGTTTTCAGATTCGACGTTTCTCCTGTTGGCCATTGTTGCTTCTCTAGTTCTAGCGTTCGTGGCTTCTATCATAGCATTCGTCGTGTATCGGAGACAGCAGTTCGAAACTGCACTCCTGGAAACGGTGTGGAAAATAAACTACAGTGACATTGCAACGCAGAAACATTTTAAGGTGATAGATATATGAGTAAAAAATGTCGGGCGAGGTATTCAGTATTTGTGTACTTTTCATTCTATGCAAAGTACGTACGAATGTGATGTCGTACTACCTGTGTGAGTTTCAGTAATTTGCCGTATTCTCGTGATAACCTTATTATTGCGTACTATTTGTTGTCATGTGATGGCTATAAACCACGACCGCGTGGCGCGAGTGGATTATGTGCGAAATTATTTATTTATATGTTTGTAATTTGTCTGTTTAGTTTGTACTTAAATAAGTTCCACTCAGATTTTTGTCATCGTTGGTGGACAGACACGTACTAGTCCCCGAGGGGAAACTTAACTGAGTAGGTCATACTGACCATGAATACCTGGCTATTTAAGTATGTGAATTTTCTCAATCTACATAATTTCAAAAAAATACAACAATAAATGACGTATGCCCGATGACGTAATGAGCAATGGCTGCGATAGACCAACTGCAGACACCAATCATTTGTTTGGCGTTGTTAGCTCAATACTGAAAAAAAATTCCTCAGGCATCTTTTTTTTTAAATAACTGTAACGCAAAATACTATTTCATAGCAGGATTTAACCGTGATATATCATCTATTTAACAACAGCTTGCATAATTACTACACTCCCTTGCCAATTTAAATCCTGGTACAGTATAATAATACAGTATGGTACATTATGTTTTGATAACCTTCATAGTAGACAGTATTATAGTGCTACAATTCGTTATTTCAATGTTTATATAATTTCAATCATTTCATGGCATTTCAGTCATTCCATGGCAGTTATCTCAGTGAAAGCAGGACCGGAATAAACTCAAGGAGTGTTCTCTCAATGGATAGATTTCATGACAACTCCCAGCAGCAAATATTCGCTATGATTGGAATATATCAGGTACGTACTGATAACTCACGTGATGACATTCAAACTTATCATCTGAATATTCATCACCTTTCAACAAATCCATTATTGCAGTCGTTTTATGCGTGCACTGTGTTTTTCTATACCATTCAGGGTGCATTGGTAACCATAAAAAGGGTGAATCGTTCCGGAATAAATATCATACGAAGTCAACTTTTGGAATTGAAACAGGCACAGTATTTCTATCTTTTGTACCATTGCTATTATTTATTATATGTTGCTATATTCGCGTTGCTTAGAGTTGGTCAACCTTTTACTGAACTTTTGTAGCAATATATTAAGATCAAACGTATATTTTGATGCAGAAACAGTATAAGAATGTGTGTACCTTATACGAATCTACTGTTACTAGTTTAGCAAATCAAATAATTGGTTATGGTATTTTTTTGTGTTTTTATTCTCATCAAAAGACGCGTGACATCCGTCATGACAATCTTAATCAGTTTATTGGGGTTTGTATTGATCTTCCGAACATCTGTATCGTGGAACAGTACTGTCAGAAGGGAAGTCTGCAGGTTAGTCTTAGATTACTGTTTTTTCTGTTTTCCTTGTCATTGTTTATTATACTACCGTGCGCTGATGGTTATTACGTTCTCATTGGTCGATCGGTACCACGTGCAACTCAGTTTTCAGAAACTGACTGGGCTAGTGATTGAGGTCAAATAAGTGTGTGTTTTCCCCACATTGTCAATTGTATGGAACGTTTTGAACAATAAACCTGATCCATTGTCATTAAGCTATCCGGGTCATTTTCATGTGGGAAATAACCAATTGTTTCGCACATCCATGTCGTTAAAAGTGCACAACAGTGTAACACGTTTCACACACATGTTTTTATTTACACCATCGTACCTGTATTTAATATTTGACTCTGATTTTGTTTTTCGTGATTGGATGAATTATGCCATGTAACATAATAGCTTCAATGGCAGATTAATACGATGATGATAAGCCAATGTGCAACATTACTCTGACACTCGATGGTGTCAATGTAGTGCGTCCTCTATTTTGAACATAACTATCTGTTCGATGAAGCATATTTGCAGTGTGGCGCGCCATCGTCATAAATTCATAAGTTTTATTTCTAATCTTGTTACACCGTTTGTGTATTAGCATCCAGTACATAACCACTGATCAATCTAATCATTGTGATAGTGTTTAAAACTGCAATGCCTACAATTTCAATTGTCTATGCGTCCTATAAGGCATAAACATGCTGCTTAAACTATCGCTATGTTCCGAATTCCGCCATATATTGCCATCTAACCCATGGCAGCACGTGCTCGAAACTAACCAAGCATTCTGTTATTTGGGGACAGTGAGAGACGTAGTACCGTGCATTGGTGACAGTCCGTAGTTGAATGTTGCATTTTGTTATCCATATATTGTTAAATACAATTTATTATAAATCATCAGAAGTAAATAAATTAGCATGAAACTGTTCAACTGCTCATTGCGGAATTGTCGTATGCACCATTTGGGGTTTATCGTACAGTTGCGCCATCTAGCGATCATCCAATTATGTATTCTGGTGATTTCTACATCAATTCAGTGATAGCATTTCTGAACATAACCGCCCAATCATCGTCAGTATGCGCTGACTAAATACTTTCTTAATTATAAGTTAATTTGATTTCACTGTGATGAAATTATTTTCATTTGACAGCTTTTTTTCATAATGAAAAACAGTATAGGTTTATGTCACACGTAGTATTAGCGTTGACTAGGTAACTGAGTGTACTATTATGCAGTATTTGAGTGATGTACGAAATGCTGATTTACCGGTTTATTGACCGAGTGTGGATCACTTTTTGGGTTAGTATTTATTTGGAAACTGGTTGCCATGGTGTTTGCCCGATTCCATGGTATGTGGCTTATTTTAGACTGTTAGAATTCACCGTGTACAGGAGCGAGACACGGGTTGGGGATGTCTTTCCTAAATTTGGAGTTTTTTATGCTAATTGAGGGTGACCGACCTTTGACCTGAAGAGGCGAGCTGTCGGATTGGTTGAAGGAACGCGCTAGAAAGGGGACTGGAACATGGCCGGAATATCTGAACTTGGTTACAGTGAGCGGAGTGAAGATTCATCTAAATCAGGCGAATAACTGCATTGATTCCTGACTGAACACTTGTGGCAGAGGAGGGGATTCATTCGAGTCGCCGCTGGAGTCAGCTGTGAGACTGAGGGAGTCTTGGATCTTGTGATACGAACTTTCCATGATTGAAAGACGTTGCGCTCCTACAAACCACGAGGCTGACGTTCGAATCTTGATCGATTGCCTGCTGTTGTGTGGTAAACTTGGGACATCGACGAGTGATCAAGACGGCGTGGGATGTGCTGGTAGGCGAGTAAGTCGAGAGAAGACTCTGAGGTAAACCGTCTGATTCATGTGTGAAAGACCGACTTCGCCATAACCGAGTATCACATTTGTCAGGATAATAAACTGTAGTGATACTCAGGTCGACGACGGGTTTGACGTGATGTAATAACCGTTTATTAGCGAGCTCGAAATGACTCTCTCCCTGGGTTATTTCCCCACCGCTCCTGTTTCGGTTTCCCCGGGTTAATCTTGATTTGTGGTTTGTTTGCCGCCAAAAATTGTATTCACCAGTGCGCGAATTTTGCTCAAGTTGAACGGAAGATATGTCAACAACATGGTTGCTGGTTTCCACTGATTCAGTTTGATGTGTATAAGCTTTCACATTTATTGATTTTTGTTAAACTTGTGATATGTTATTTTTCTGTTTCGTTGCGTGTTATTGCGATTAGTAAATATTGTGACGTCATTGCTATTGCCATATGAGGAGTTGCACGCACTTGGTAGCTGATCGAGACTGTACTGGTGCAGAGCATAGTGCTGGCTGGTAGTTTGTACAGTGACATTTGTAAAGAGACATTTGATTGCTTGTTGTCACTGAACTGTAGAGATACATTTGTGCATTGAGTGCTGTTTCAGCCACAACTTTGTAGTAGTAGCTGTGATTTATGATTAATGTTGCTGCTGATGTATTGCAGTTTACTGATCTTGTATTGCATGACTGCTAGTTGTTTGATAATTTACCGTTTATTGTTTGGAATTATTAAAGTCTCATTATTTGTGCTAGCGTGTTTGTGGGTACGGTTAGAGCTGGTTCGACACAATACTTATCCATTGCCCTTGATTTGGATTGAGAGGACCGTTCTCTGGGGACTGTGTGTGCTGGCCCCCTTTTATACAGTGAGGAAAAATGTATGCTCCCCCTTCGTCCACTTCGGATTCGAAATATTGGTCCGATAGTCTGTTTGTGTTTGGTTGCCTGGCGACAAGTGGATGAGGGCGGGACACTTAGATAGTGTACGCTAGTAAGAGTATATTCATCTATTCCGCACCTATTGGTAATTATTCATGCTTTTCGACAGTGGACAATGCTATGTTGATACTCATGTTAAAATCTTTCATATTATGAGTATCTATTTAAAGAACTGCCAAGAGAAATGTTCAACCATCAATACTTTAAACAAAAGTCAAATCATAACGATTGAAAACACGTGGTCTGCCCGTCTAACACACAATTTTCAAACATTTTACAATGTAATACAGAACGGAAGTTACCTCCTGTATTTTAACTTGATGACCGTGTTGCTCACTTTCTATTATAATGTGACGTTAAATGCGGGGGGGCCTTTATGGGGCTACACCGTATTCAGGATCGGGGAGCTTGTTTTTAATACCGGTCTAATAGTCTTTGTCTTTGGTAGCGTGCTTATCTAATAACTCTCCTCCCTCTCAGCTCGTCCGCTGTCACGGGGTGGGGATCGTTTGGTGAATATATATCACCACAACTGAGACTGTGCAGAGAAAGAAATATACCAGTAACGATTATAACAAATTAACACAACACAATATATACGGTTTCCTGTACTTTAATGAACAAATAACAGCAGGGGGTGGGGGTATACAGTACATAAATAGAATTAAAAAGACTTGATCGAGGCTGCAAGGAACACTCCACTCTCCGGTTAACAGCAATGTACCTGGTTGCGTTCCTTCGTATCTGGCACACTGTCTCAGCAGCTGCACTACAATTTAAACTCGTGCTCTGTGTCCAGGGAGTATCGGCAACTTCACTGCTATCTGCTGCTACTGGTAGCACCGGTACAACGGGAGTAGTTCAGGCAGTGAGCTTCAGTGGTTCCTGTTGATCAGCAGGGGTTACTGCACAGCACGTCTGCATGTGTACCACAGTATAGGGTACAGCTCACTGGAGTCAGAATCAGCGTCTCAGATGTTGTGGGACCAAGTCAGTTACCTTCCTGACTAAAGATTTTCCCTTATGTCTCAACTTAAATACCCTAGCTAATTTATGGCCATGCAAATAATAAA